TTCAAATGATGTGGCTCTGATGAGTAAACAGCAGAGTTTTGGCAAAGGCTCATAAAAAAACAACAAGTAGCCAAATAAGGGCGGGTCAACCCAGTGAGTTCCTGAGGATTTGTTAAATCCTCTTTTCTATCAGATCGGACCAGGACAGCTTTCTCCAGCCAGACCTTGGACAAAAAGGTGAGAACCAGGTCATTGGGTGACTTGGTCATGGATCCAAAGAAGGAGCAAGATACCGAATCAGGGGCCTTCCAGTTACAAAAGAGCCACACAGTCTGCAGAACAGACCAGTGCCTCTGTGGAAAACACGCCTCTAAGAACTGGCTCAGGAGAGCCACTGACACCCAAATGAGCCTGACCTTTCTGAGACTCGGCAAAAGTCTTGTTTAAAATGACACCAACACCTCATGGGTGATTCTTTAAAGAAGGATGTCAGGTAAAGGGGTCAGTGGTACAGAGAGGGGCTCAGGACCACAGCTAATTGCCCTTTCTGGGCATTCTAACGCTCCCATCCGCACGAGGGAGGCATCTGCGCCAATGGACGCAGTCTAGTTTGGGTCAAAGCATCCTCTCCCTCATTTAACAGATTTGCTCAGATGGACAGTCTCTGAGGAGAAGCAATGTTAGTAAGTGAGGGGGGTGGGGGTTCTAACCATAAAAATATGTAGGTCGCTGGATTTTTAACTAAATTAGAGAATAATTTATCTATTAAGGAAGACTCACTGTATGTATTTCATGAAACTGCTACTCACAGGTCAGTGGACATTCCACAAGCATGCCTTAGAAACAGGAAGTCTTTTAAAATACTGTCATAAGCCTCTGACTAACATTTTAAGTCCCTAACGTGACAAGGGGCAAAAGGATACCTGAGGTTAGGATTCATAATCAAACTGTCAAAAGGCAAAGATGCCAGCAACTTATTTCCCGTCCGTAGCTCCAGAAAGCGAAGGTATGCCAGCACTGAAGTAAACTGGGGGTGCGGGCGAGGGAAAACACACATGGAAAAACACTCGACAGAGTCCTGGAGAAGGGGTGGGCCAAGGAGCAGAGTGACTCCGAAACTCATGGAAATCCCGTAAGTCACCGTGCAGACGCAGGAAGAATAGCTTTCATTTGAGTCAAATTTGGAAGATCTCATAGGAACTCAAAACTAATGTGTTTCTGACGCTCGTTCTCTCTCGCTCCACCCGCCACTCCCAATATCTAATATCCATAAGTAAATCTGACATCCACATCAGTCCACTGAGCTCAGGGGACTCCGTTTAAAATAACAATAATACTTTGCTTTAGATTTGGGAAGGTAGTAGGCTAAAACGGAAGGTGGGTTTCATTCAGACTTCTAAGCCATGGCATAACCAAGGTCCACTAGGCTGGCAATGGCATTGACCTGTCACCTGGGACTTACTAGGAAGTGCTTCTGAGGGAAACCGGGGAGAGACTAGGAGGAGCAGGACACGGAAGGGGAGAGACCCAAGCAAGGTCCCAACCTCAGCCGATCCTGCGGAGAGAGGGCTCTGGGGTGGGAGTCACTCCTCAGGGTCCCTGCGACAGCAGGCACGGGAGCTGGGCTTCGTCCCCCTCCACCCATCAGACCTTAGGTTGGCATTGCCAGCTCCTTGCCAGTGCGAGCAGGCAAAATCCAGTGGCCTGAGGAGGATCCTTTAAGCTTTTCATCTGCCTGTCTTAAACATGAAAAACTATTCTGATGTATATTCACGAGTCCAGCATCATTTATGAATGCTGTATGTGTGCTTTTGTTCTACACACACACACACTCCACTGATTTGTTCTTGGTCTAATCGTCCAGCACAAGCACATACTGAAAAGTTGCTTTTCGTTTAGTTTGATAATAAATGAATAATGGACATCACCAACTATTTCTGGAAAGTACCCAGTGGGACTGAGGATATGCTAAATATCGGTAAAGCCAATGAGTGCCAGACTGATGTGGCCCTAGGTGTCCACCTAAACTCGTGGTCAGAAAACTGCAGCTCGCGAGCCACATGTGGCTCTTTGGCCCCTTGTGTGTGGCTCTTCCACAAAATACCATGGCCTGGGCGAGTCTATTTTGAAGAAGTGGTGTTAGAAGAAGTTCAAGTTTAAAAAATGTGGCTCTCCAAAGAAATTTCAACCGTTGTCCCATTGATATTTGGCTCTGTTGACTAATGTGTTTGCCGACCACTGGCTTACGCCAATGGTTCTGATTTTGTTTGCTTTGGTGGGGGGGACAAGAGGGAAGGAGTTAAGATTCTTTTCTGTCCAAAGGGTACCAATTCTTTTTATGTTATCATCTATAAAAGTTAATTTTTATGTGCTTATTACAGCTGGCAAATTACTATATCACCCATAAATGTCTGATTCCACTCAAAAAAAGCCTCCCATGTGCAAAGTGCACGGTTGGTTTCATAGGGCATCGAACCCCGTATTTTCCACATAACAGTGCTGCTGGGGACGCCCCGCTGCCTGGCCTCGCTGCTGGGGACCGCGTGCACACAACAAAACAATCTGCCTGCTGACCTCCGGCTGGAGTTCACACTATGTCATTCTGTCAATACCATCTACCTTGATTAGGTTGGGCTTTATACACAACAGGTTATGATCCCAGAGGGATGAAAAGCTTTCCCAAATTAAAAGCAGAATTTTAAAAGGAAATACTCATACATTCCTAGGCAGTTTCCATTTGATATCCTCAAGGCTTGCCCGTGAACCCCAGCTCACGCTGATTGAAAGTGAATGTTCCCTTCTGGGCGTAGCCATCTCACAAATTTAATGGCGGGAGGAAAAAAATACAATGTGTTCCATGCTTCAATTAGACCTTTTATAACTTGGCACTTGAAAGATGGCAATGCCGGAGAAAAATCATTAATCCATAAAAATAGACAAAAAGGACTGTGCCGCCGCGGACAGACCTCCCGGAGTCGCGGCCCTGGCGGGGCGACCCCTCACACCGGCCGGCCTGCCTTTTGTTCAGCCTCATTGTGCGTCTTCTCTCGGCCTTCGTGCTACTTGGACAAAAGGTTTACTGTATTTGGTTTTAAATCCAAAGTAATACAGCCATGCTTTCAATTTTGGCCTTTGCCAAAGGAGCTGTATATAGAAGCAGGCAATAAAATGTTGGCTAACCATGAAATGCCTATTCATGGGCATGAACGATACATGAAAGGACTTGTGCGTGCACATGCGTGCGCACACACAGAACCGCACATGCAGACTAAGAGATGCATCCTTCCACTTCGTATTTTGCAGCGGTTACCCAACAGACACGCTCCAAGGGACCAAGTTGTTCATAATCACAAAAGCTGCCTGAGGACTCTGAGTCACAAGAGAAACCTGATGGAGTGATGTTTGGAACATGCGCAGGCCTCTGTGAACCTCAAGACTCATTTTCAAAGGATGTAAACAGTCTCCATCCACAACAGAACATATAAATCTGCTAAGAGTCAAGGGAGCAAGAAACGTCACCTCTCTGGGTCTCCTGCCATACTGAATCCGTCAATACCCAACCTCAGACAACCCCACTGCGTCTCTTCCCCGCTCCCCCTCCTGGAGTCGGAGCGAGCCACAGAGGTTGATTCTATCGCCAGTGCGTGCTGTGGAACTTCAGCTGAGGCCTCCAACTCCCTCACAAATCCTCCTATCTCAAAATGATTCCTTAGCACTGTGGTCGGCAAACCGAGGCTCGAGAGCCACATGTGGCTCTTTGGCCCCTTGAGTGTGGCTCTTCCACAAACTACCAAGGCCTGTGCAAATCTATTTTGAAGGAAGTGGTGTTAGAAGAAGTTTAAGTTTAAAAATGTGGCTCTCCAAAGAAATGTCAATCGTTGAGCTGTTGATATTTGGCTCTGTTGACTCATGAGTTTGCCGACCACTGCCCTAGCTCATTCAAACTGTCAACCTACTTCTGGCCTCCCTTTCAACACCAAATTTTGGAAACAATAATTTGCAGCCCCTGCTTCTGTATCCTCAACAGGTAATCATTCCTCAACTCCTAAATTCTGGCTCCTGCCTTCACCACTCTAATGAAATTATACTTTCAAGTTTGCAAAGATCTCTACCAACCAATCACCCAATTTCATGGCAAAGTTTCAAGCTTCTCCCTCCCAGACTTCTTAGGTTTCCATCCATAAGAAGTCTCTTGGAAACCTGACTCACACCTTCCATCCATCTCACTACCATTTCCCCATTCTTCCATCTCTACCTAACCCCAGCTCTCCTGGCATTTCTTGTGTCTCTTCCTGGTAGGAGTGGTGGTGATGCTTTCTTCCATTCATTCCCCTGAATCTTTAAATCCCAGGCTCTGTAAATAAATTTCAAATCTCGTTCTCTAACCCTGACCACTCTTTTTGCATCTGCACCAACCTCATTTTTTTTTTTTTAACGATGGCAACACATCTTCACTTAAGAAATCTGCCTGCACCTCCAAGTCAAAATAGCCCAATCCAACACATCTCCTTCTTGCTCCAGCTCTTGGCTGCTGTCATATTTTTGGGTTAATTTGTATACTTGCTCCTGATTGGCTGGTGGGCATAGCGGAGGTATGGTTAATTTGCATGTTTTTCTTTTATTAGATAAGATAATGATACTTTTTTTAAATAAAGTTCAAAACCAAAGTAATAGATTGGGCATGCATTAATAGTTTTAAAATTACTTTTTAAAATGACAAGGTAACAGTAACAATAACCACAAAACTCAAAGTCAGGGTTACATCTGAGGAAAAGTAGATGAGAAGATGAGGGAAGATAGCAGCACACAGACCAGGTCACTGGTCACATTTGGGGTCCTGTGTTGGTGAGTTTAGTTCTGTTCATTATGTTGCTGAAATTGACTAATTAGTTACAACTATGCATCATGATAGTAGTTCACAAACCAAGCATCATTCATTAATCTAGGTCTATGTGCTCTGAGAGCCACAAAAGGTTTTTAAGAGATAAAAAGGAAAATGTGTCACAATGCCATCCCTAGTTATGATTCTTAACCACCACCCTGCTCAGTGCTCATTGTACCTGTGTGCGGTTGAATGCCACTCTTGCAAAGACAGCTTGGGACACACTGGCCCTCTTCAGCTCATCTCTGACTTGCTGGTAGATGTCAGGAGAGACTTCCACAGAAGAGTTGGTTGGCTCTGGCTTCACTGCTCTGGGAATGGGCGGATGGTTCAGGAACTGCTGGTTGATGGCTTGAGGGTGCTGGTGAGCCAGGAGGCGGCTGACGGCGATCTGCTGGTTTATCAGGTGGGCCATGGCTATCTGCTGCCTGACCAGCTGGGGGCTGAGCTGGGGGGAGAGCAGCCCCGGGCTCATGATGGGCTGTAACGCGGGCACTTGGTTCCGGACTGGAGTGCTGTGGTGGATTTGGCTGTGAGGAGACTGTTCGTTGGTTTTCCCCAAGGACGCCAGCTGATTCATATTTGGTAAATGCATTGGACGCTGGCCCAGAACACAATAGTCTGAAAGGTTTTCTCGTTCCACTCTTTCCACTGTTAGGAGATAAAAGTGATAGTGATCATGGTTTTCATTGATATGATTTGTTGCTAATATGTCACATTTTTTTTTGTAAATTAGGGCATAATCTTTTAATACAAAACTGAAAGCCCTAAAGTAAAAATAAGTTACCCTTTTCTGCAAAATGTTAGAATAATAGAGTTTTTCATACATGATATGAAAGTGACAATAGTCAACACTTTACTTTTCTTAAATTCTTAAAAGTAGGCATTTTATTGGATAGCTAAGACAGAAAACCCTAACCATTATACATTCTAAAACCTCTCATATATCAAAGCTCTATCATATGATGCTTCCTCACTCTTTGTTACAAATACTAGTACACCAGCTGTTTTCATCTTCTGGAGTTCATGGTCATCAAGAAATGATGAGGACAACCTCTTCTGTCAAATTAAATACACCCGCCTAATAAAAAGCTACCTAACTATGAAAACCATCATAGAAAATGTCCTACACACAGTATTCTCCTTTTATCTATTCACTTGCTGTCTTTGCTATAGAAATATCTCTTGAAGAAAATGATTTATAAAGATGGTAATATACAGTAGGATAAGAAACCTCACAAAATTAACAATACCACCTGGACTTGCCCTTAAATAAGACGCTCCCCTCTCTGGGTTATCTACCTTTTTACATTCTATTGCTCTTTACTGAAACTTGAAGGGCCAGCCTTGGAAGGGAGAAGAATCAGATATGCTCAAACATGAGGTAGATTTTTTTTTCTTCCCCCTAGAATATTTCTCAAGAAAGAGTGAGCTGCTTCAGAGTCAAATCCTTATCTAACTCTCTGTAATACTTTGTTATGTGAAACAGAGGTTTGCTTAGGGAAAACACATTAGGCAAAACAAACAAACAACTCTTCATCATTACCAGTTTTAAATGTTGATAGATATAATTTACAAAATTTGTTTTTTCTAAACAAAAATTCTAAACAGATTTCATAATTATTTCATAAAATGCAAATATTGGATATGATTTGCAAAAGCTTACTAAGGTAGCTGTAAAGAATACTACTGTGGGTGTTCCATGCTGGAGATCAAAAGTACTCACCTAGAGGAATTGTTAAAGGTGCCATTTTGTACCGTTATTATGTGTTTGTAATTTGGCATACAGTTTACAGTGACTGAATCATACTTGAATTACAAAAAAGAAAAACAAAAACAAAAACAAAACACTAAGTGTTGCCCGGTTGGCATGCCTCTGTAGGTGAACATTGATCTATGAACCAAGAGGTCACAGTTCAAGTCCCCGTGAAAGCATAAGCCCGGGGTTGCAGGCTAGATCCCCAGTGTGAGGTGCGCAGGCAGCAACTGATCAGTGATTCTCTCTCATCATTGATCTCTCTCTCTCTCTCCCTCTCCTCTCTCTCTCTCTCCCCCTTCCTCTCTGAAATAAAAAAAAAAATTTTTTTTTAATTTTAAAAAGCACTGAGTTTCAAAAAAGTTTAGGCAGAGTGATCTGTGCTGCAAAACCGGGTGAGATGACTCAAAAAACAGTGATGAGTTTGTCTTTACTTTGATGGAAGATGCCAGTGACAAATCACATGTGAAGAATTATAATAATTAATTAATGAACTATAAGGATGAGAAAAAGTAACATTTCTAAATTAGAAATTTTATGTAATATGTGATTTTAAAATACATGAGGAGGAAAATTAATACATAAAAAAATGTAAGCAGACATCTGACCATTTCATCTGGATGTCTAGAGGTTTTATATATTCAAAACTTTCCATTGGGAAAATAGATAAATACTCATATCTCGGGTTCACATTATATTCAGACATTTATAGCATTTTTTTTCTGCTTTAAAAAACAACAACACTGAATGATCGCCTAACTTTTCTATGAACCCCAAATAAGTCAAAAGTTCACCTCAAACTTTTTTAAGTGTTCAATTTTTAACTTAATCCGTTCAATGTAATTCATTTAGTTTGCATTCACCTTTTCCTCATAAGGTTCAAGGTGAACAAATTATTTTAATCTTATCCTCTGAAAGGCAAACCCTTTCAATCACTGTATTAATTAAACTGTAAGGCATACAGTCTTAAAACCAAAGCAAGCAAATAGTTAAGAGTCTTCGAGTAATGATATCTAACACAGTGTCTGTAAAACAAAAATCACTATTATGATTTCCTTACTGAAAATAGAAGTGGAGGCCATACTTTAGAGGCAGAAATACTTGGCCTCAGTAGACATTTTATTCACGTTTATTTGCTTTTTAATTCAGCTGAAGTAAAAACAAATTCAAATATTAGATTATGTTTTCAGGTATGAAAGCAAAAGTTTTATCCGTTTCTTTTTCTACTTAAAAAACAAACCCATTCTCTCAGAGCATGCATTCTTTGACCAAATGCTAATTTTCCAAAATTTCAGCATTTTGTTTTCAATGACTTAATTACATTTAAGTGAGTTATTTTCTTGAGCTATATTGAAATGACATCATCAATTTAAAAAAACACACACACTCCATTCGCAGATCTAGTCAGAGCAGGCACACAATGAAGCATGAACATCAGAGTTCTATGAAACCTGCATGAACTGGTGTAAAAAGAATCAGAATAATGTCAACCCATATTCCTTTAAGATGATGCATAATAATTCTCACTTTCCTGATGAGTTCACAGCTCCTTCTAAGTTCATGTAGTGAAGAGCAGTGACTGTAGAAGTATCCTTAGAAACATGTGGCACCACCATGAAGTACTAACTATTTAGTGGTGAACCATATGGAGTGAATTGCAAACACTTCCGGGCAGAGAGCAGCCAGCAATGCCAGCTGCAGAGGCACGAAGTACAGCGTGGAGCGAGGGAAAGCTGGAATGAATGCACATTGTATATTTCAGATCTTTGTTGTTTCAGCTTCTCTTCTCTGCATCAGCCAGTTCTGTCTTCCTCCTATTGTCATTTCTTCAGATTTTTTTTCAAGAAAATAAAGAATCTGGATTTTTACATGACCACTCCTAATTTTTTAACTGTTGCAACCAATTCCATTTTCAACATGTAATAAAAGTCAAATAAAATATTTCTGAGCCCAGCCAGTGTGGGCATCAAGAGGTCACAGTTTGATTCCAGGTTGCCAGCTAGATCCCCAGTAGGGGGCGTGCAGGAGTGATGTTTTTCTCATCATAGATTTTTCTCTCTCCTCCTCCTCCCTCTCCTTCCTGTCTTTAAAAATCAATAAAATATATATATATAATTTTTTTTTTTCTGAAAACCAGATGCTGCCCATGGACAGCCAGCCTTAAAGTTGTGCCTATAAGACTCAAGACACCCCCTATGTTGTTAAAGATAAAGGTATCCGTCAACACTTGTCAAAGATGGTAAGGCAGACCTTATCAGGACCACTGCAACAGACAGAGGGGACCCTACAACTGGATTGCACAGAGGGGAGAGAGTTTGGACCCAAATCCCAATACAGCAGGGGCCGGTGGGAATTCAGAGCCAAGGACGACGGTGAGCGTCATAGACAGAAAATTACCAAGAGGAACTAGAGAAGTAAAGATTCTGGCTCAACCAACCTAACAAGATTCTTTGCTGAAGACAGGCCAGATAATCAGACATCACCTGGGGGATGGTGGAGGATGAGATATCGAGGGTGATCAGATACCAAGGAGGTGGGGGGATTCTGGTTAAACTGACTTAGCAGGGTTATTGCTAAAATTGGAATTTACAAGGAAGTGCACATTTGAGCCTAGGACAGTGGTGGGCAAACTCGTTCGTCAACAGAGCCAAATACCAACAGTACAACGATTGAAATTTCTTTTGAGAGCCAAATTTTTTAAACTTAAACTTCTTCTAATGTCACTTCTTCAAAACAGACTAGCCCGGGCCATGGTATTTTGTGGAAGAGCCATACTCGAGAGGCCAAAGAGCCAGACTTGCCCAGGCCATGATATTTTGTGGAAGAGCCATACTCTCATGTGGCTCGCAAGCCCAAGTTTGCCAACCATAGGCATAGAAGAAGGTCAGGAGTTTAAGGGTTGGTCAAACAAAGAATCTTAGTCGATATTTTTCAGTCCCTGGAAGCTCTACTAATAAAAGCCAAGTTCTTTACTTCTAAGAGTGAAGTGGGGGAAATCGTCACCCCAACTCAACTAATGCCTAAAAATCCAATGCTCCAGGACCCCAGAGTCTTTCCAAGTTCACAGGTTGATGTTCTAAACAAGAGCATCTTCTGACCATTAGGAATTAAATACCATGATTTTGGGCAACAGAAGGCTGTTCATGCCTCAGAAGGCTTCACTCCTCCTGAAAGATTTATCCTCATTATAATCAGAAGCTATTTGGTTCAAAAATATCATGTTACTTCAAGCAATTTTACAGTACATCCAGGAAGCCAAGTATTTCTTTATGGTAATTATTGCAAATCCCTGATATATAGATTAGATATAGATAGATATATAGATATAGATATATAGATATAGTCATATAGACATATACATATAGATATATATTAGATGGTTGCAACAACATTTTTAATACTATATATGTACACACACATAACTTGTCTTATTTTCCTATCTGACACTTTTTGGTAATTTCTTTATTGCAATTTGGGGGAAATATCTTTTTATCTTTGGGAAAGATGTATGATATGATGATTATAAGCAGAGACTCCTAAGCCAGACTGCTGGGATTTAAATCTCAGCTCTACCACTTGATGGTTGTGAAATCTTGGGCAGGTTACTTAACTTCCCTGGACTTAGTTTCTGATACATTGATTGTGGGCTAAGAACCGTGCCTATGATGAATGATTATTTTGTGGATTAAATGAGCTAATGTTTGTTGACAATTAGAACAATACCTGGCACTATCCAATATTTACCATTACTATTACAATCATCTTGTCATGTTTGCCTGTGTGTGTGTGTGTGTGTGTGTGTGTGTGTAGACAGAGATGAATGAATGCACATTGTATATTTCATTCTCTGTTGTTTCAGAAATACTCAAAACATGGTCCTTCAACCATTAATATC